GGCGCGCACGCGCCGGCGGCGGCGGCGCCGCCGGCGCTCCTGAGCAACTTTGCGCGCAAGGTGTTTGTGACGGTCTACGCAGACGGCCCGACGCGCGTGCTGTGCTTCAGCGACGAACCCTTTGCGGGCGGCACGGCGGAGGAGGGCGTGCTGCAGGCGACGGGCTACCGGCTGCAGCAGGTGAGGGCCTTTGATAAGATTTTGAAATCTGAGCAAGCGTCCTGCCTGTGCATAGCAGTGATGTAAGCCCTGGTGTGAACGCTGCTCTGTCTTCCTGCATCACGGCCTAGCCTGAGGCATGCGTCAGCATTGCGTCATGCAACCACCTGCAGCATGTACCAGATTACCCTTGCACGTGCGGCGCGAGTGGCATTGTGTGAAGCAGAGGAGGAGCATGGGTCTGCTCAGCTCTGAGACTGGCGGCTGCACCCCCACCTGCTGTACCCAGGTGGCGCGGCGCCTGCGGCAAGTGGAGAAGCAGCTGACTCTTGTCATGGGCCCGACCGCGGTCCCACGCGCCGCCATGGCACGCGCGCCCCCGCTGGTGCCGTTCGGCCCCTCGCCGCCGCCGGGCGCAGCGGGGGCGCACCACCACGCGCCCCTCCTGCGGCAGCAGCAGGCGCTCGCCGCGCCCGCCGCGCTCCGCGCGCTCTCCGGCGCCGGCGACCGCGACGGCGCGCCGATGCCGCAGCAGCTCCTGGCGCTGCCGCCGCCGCCGCCGACGGGCATGGCTGGGACCCTCGCCGGCCACGCGCCGCCGGCGCCCCAGGCGGCCGCGCCCGCGAGCAGCGGCGGCGGGGTGCAGCGGCTGCAGCTCGACAAGCTGCTGTCTCTCCTCGAGAGCGGCCTTCCCCTGGGCGGCGACCTGAAGGTCCGCCTGCTGGCCGCGCGCGGGCTGGCGGGCGGCGCGGACCGCCACACCAACGCGTTCGGGCGGCTGGTGGTGGGCGGCGCGGGCGCGCAGAGCCCGCCGGTGTGGGGCAGCAGCGCGCCGGCCTGGGACCACGAGGAGACGTTTGAGGAGGTGGGTGCGGGGGCAACGAGCGCAGGACCCCACCCCTTAATCCCTTTGATGCTGGCGGGTTTGGGCGTTCTCGCGGCCAATACGCCGTGAAAACATGATTTTCACAAACGTGCGGCAGATGCAAGGTTCGGCATATGTCTGGTGCACTTATACAAGCCAGGAATCAGGCGAGCGGGGCGAAGCGTCAAGACGCAGCTTCCCGCCGCCCTTCCGCCCCCAGCCGCGGCCTAGCCTGATGGCTGGCGGGTGACTGGGAGTGCAAGCAAGGCCCCGCCTCTGGAAACAGCTGCCTTGCACACCAGGCCCACCCTTGCATCCCCGGTAAATGCCTGGGTGCGTACACAAAGGCACCCAACCGACACCCCCCCACACACACACAGATGCGCACACACACACACACACACACACAAACATGTACACCCACGCACACAGGTGCCGGCCACCCTGGATCTGGTGGTGGAGATCTGGAGCCTGCCCGGCAGCGGAGCGCAGCAGCTGCTGGCGGCCGGCCCCGCGGAGCTCTACGCGGCGTCAACCTTTTTGGGCTGCGTCACGGTGGGGGGCCCCGGGGAGGGGCTGCCTCAGGGGGCCTGGGCAGGCTGCAGCGGCGGCAGGGGCGGCGACAGGGGCAACGGCAAAGGCAGGAGGTGTAGGCGGCGCCAGCCGATGAGCGACCGATTAGGTTGCAGGATTGCGTGTGTCGACGGCGGACACGGAGGCTCTTGCTGTTGCCGTGGGGGGCATCAGAGTGAGAATGCAGGTTGGCGCCCAATCTGGTGGTGGTAGGCTTTCTAGTTGCACGAGCTCAAGCCTATGCTCCTTCGGATGCACTGCCGTGCGAGCGCAGGTGCCGCTAATGCAGACCCTCCCTGGAGCAGCCGGCGCCGGTCCCATCGCCGATCCCGCAACCACGCCAGGCGGCGCCCCCTCCGCCGCGGCCGCTGCCGAGGAGGGCGGCGCCGCCGCCGGCGGCGAGCCGCGGTGGTACCTGCTGCAGCGCCGTGCAGGGCACCAGCGCGTTAGTGGCCAGGTCAAGCTGTCCTTTGAGTGGACCTTCACCCTGGACGGCCTGCTCAGCCTGGAGGTGGCGCAGCTGGAGCAGCTGCTGCGCCAGGTGGGGGCGCGGGGCCGCGCCCGACCGCTGCATTGGAGAGACGGCAGCCTGATCGATCGGCGCGCGCTTTGACGCGGCTGCACCGACGCGTGCTGGCACAGGGGTTCCTGCGCATGCGGTAGTTGCTGCTCATGGCGTGGCTTTTGCTTGCCGTTTTTCCTGTGCGCTTGCAACCGCAGAAGCTGGAGGTCCTGGCGATACTGCGCCCACTGCCGGCGCGGCGCGTGGCGGAAATCACAGAGGCGTTTGCCGCCCAGCAGGCCGCCGCGGCCGGCGCAAGGAGCGGCAGCCCCCGCAGGCGGGGGCCCGTGTACAGGGCTGGTGCTGGGGCGGTGGAGGGCGCCGGCGCGCTGCAGGCGGGCGGCAGTGGTGATGGCAGGGAGCCTGAGGATGAAGATGAGGCCGTGGCTGCAGGTGAGCATCTGGAAGAATATGCTGCTCGTGCGCGCGTGCACGCGTGCACGTACGTGTGTGCGTTTTGGTGTGTGTGTGTGTGTGTGTGTGTGTGTGTGTGTATGCACTTGCGCGTGCGTGCGCAATTGCACAACCCCGATGCAAATCAGCACGGTTGCCAGCCTTCATCAGAGCGGACGCACCTCGCGCGGCCCCCCAACCCATCACATACCGCGCCGCGTCCAACCCCGACGCCCCAAAGGCGCCCGGCCGCGCGGCGGCTGGGACGCGTTTTCCGGGCTGGACCTGTCCATCGGCGACAGCCACGTCATGACGCTGGAGGTCGAGGTGGTGGAGGTGCGCCGCGGCGCCCCCGGTAGTGCACGGGTTGGCACTGCATCACACGCCGTCTTGCGTGACCCCAAAGGATACGCGCTCCGCCTAACGAGCCGATCCGAAAGCGCACGTGCTTTGCACGAGCGAGCCCGTGTTTTGGAGCTGTCGGTTCCGCTCCGGTCGTCACGCCCGGGCCAGGCACGGTGCATCGGGGTGCTTCAGCACGCGCGGGCGGACTGTAAGACAAGACACCCCCGGGCCCTTCTGCCGCTGCAGGTGCGCGGCCTCGTGCCGCGGAGCGGCTGGCAGCAGGGCCTGTCGCACGCGCTGGTCGGCAGCGGCATGGCCACAGGCGGGCTGGAGCCCTCGGCGCGCGTGCAGGAGCTGCCAGTGCCGGTGGTGCAGGTGCGGGCGCCAATCCCCCATATTGCGCGGGGCTGGTGCGGTTGCGCCTGGCTGGGACGCCGGCCAAAATCAGGGCGCCAGTTTGACAGCCCTAATCGTGCTTGACTGCAGGGTCAAGCTGCCGCGGCACGCGCCACCCCGACAACATCGTCCGCTTTGCAGTCCGCCCACAAGTGGTCTCCTCTTCGTTGGTCCTTGCGCCTCCTCTACCCCCCTCCCCCAAAGGTGTTCTGTGGGTCGGTGGGCTTTGAGGTCTGCGCGGACGGCCCCACCCTGAACCCGATGTTCGGCAAGAACGGGTAAGGCGGGATGGAGGGGTGCGGCGGCGCACGCGGGGCGCTCGACAGGCACCCCGGCTGCTGCACTTTGGGCCCTGCCTCTCCGACTTCTGCGGGGCCGTGTAACAGACCCCCGCATCAGGTCACCTGCAGCCGCCCTCAACAATGCTTGCTGATCCCGTTGACCGCTCGCAAGTCCCTCCCCGCCCCGCACCACCACACCCGCCCCGCGCGCCCCTCCCCACTGCACCTCCCCTGTCCACGCCCTTCGAATTGACCCCCTACCCCACACATAC